CCAATTCATGCATCAGTTCAACTCAAATTCATCACTGCTCCAAAGTCTACTGCGTATTTTTAGCTTCTGACTTATAAGTGTCAATAAATAGTTTTATCCGCTGCCCATTACTTTGTTTTGTTGACATTTCTTGAAATTTAGAATGGCCCAATCACAACCAAGGTAATGTGATCAACTCCTGACACAGAATACCAGCGATCCATGCAGTGAAAACGGAAATCTCCAAACTAATGAGGAGGTTAAATACTGCTCTGGGTGAAAATAATCCACTCCCTTAAATATCGTCTAACACTGTAGCCTGGAGTCCTGGGCAGGTTAATAAGGGTTAACGTTAGTCAATGTAGGAAACAGAGTGTTGGGTAAGAAAGTAAAAAGAGTCTCACAATCTTTGGGAAAGGAAGAGGAACAAGTAACAGAAGAAGCTAAAGATGAACCATCGGGTATCTGGCCTGCTAAGCAAATTTTGGCCAGATCTGCCAGTTTCTATACCCACTGACACACATGGCAGCAGTTTGGCTAGCATCATACTCATCTCCTTTCGTTTCTGTAGCCAAATGGACTAGCAGAAGTGACTTAATGCACAAGCCCAAATCAAGAGCTGCTAGTATCTCCTGTTGCAAAATAGTTCCCTATAAGGATGTGCTTACCGGCAGGAAAGGAGAAAGGTGTTTTCTCCGTTTTCACTCCACTTACTTTGGCACACGGATCTGGACCCCATGGTGGTGGTAGCTCATGCACACGGAGGAACTGTGCCTGGTGAGAAGATGGGTGAGGTGGTGTGGGTGCTGGCAAGGGGCTGTCTTGGTAGAGACATGAGGTGGTGAATTCGATGGTGGGCAGGATGGGGCTGAGGTGCTGTTTGGGGGAAGTTGTGGAACTGGGAATGGAAGGCACAAGGCTGGAGGCTGTCTTGAGGGATTTTGTGAAACCAGAAGTGCCTGAGGTGTGGTGAAGGACTGCGTTGAAAGGCGGTGTGAAGTGGCAGGTAATACTGTGGGGTGTGAAGTTGCATTGAAAGAGCGGACATCAGAAGCGGGCGTTGTGTATTGAAGGCAGCAGAAGCAGAGGCTGTGCAGTTGTAGCTGCTGAGGCGTGGTAAGGCTATGGAGTTTGGGTGGACCCTTCTCCAGGAAACGTTGTGTGAAACTGTAGGGACGAAGTAGGGTGGTAACTTGTGTTGTGAGAGGCTCTGAGTCAGAAGAGGACACTCTGTGGTCTTGGGTGTTTTAAGGTCGGTTTGGCAGGGACGTTGGGTCCTTGAGGAATGAGAAGTTGGGCTGAGGGTTGTGAAATCATCGGTAGACGTTATGGAAGAGGACTGACAATTTCTCAATGTCTGTGACCCTGAGCAGCAGTAAGGCTTTCTCGTCAAGGACGGTGAAACCAGAGCACCTCAGGGACACGAGCAGGAAACAAAGTGCAAGGTATAATTCTGTACAGACAGTTCTTGCTTTCTTTGTGTTATGAAACGGCAGAAGAAGGGAGAAGTAGTAAAAAACCCACTTCCAGAGCCATGACAGTGACAGGTTCTGTACAAAGATGGAAGGGGGAAGTGGTTCAAATCTAAGTGACTACACACGACAAACGAGATGTTTCCCCACGAGAGTGATTGGCTGGCTGTCGGATGTCACGTTGAAAAGACTGCGGCTTTTTAAACAGTGTCAAACTAGCCCAGCGCTACATTACACACAAGGATTTTATCCGGACCGTATGCCAGAGAATTCAGGTGACAATTTTCCCCAGCAGATCCCTATCAGGCAGCTGCTGCCAATCCGTCACTGAAATTCCAAGGAACGGACAAAAAGGTGAGAAATTCCTAGATGGTATCTTTGCCATTGCAGTCTTCTGTCCTGCTTTTGGAGAGATGGTGAGGGGAAGGGAGGAGAAAAAGAAAAATAGAGGCAAGGAGATCAAAGATTTTCTTCTCCTGCTGGTTAGAAATTCACTATAGGTAAAAAATTGTCTTGGTTGTTTTCAAGATAACAAGAGCTTCATTCTGGGGACCCTTTTCCACGAACGAGTGCTATTGAATTGCTCTAAATACACCTCTGTAACGTAAGATGTGATTATTCAGAGACCTAGCATCAGCCATTTTGGTCTTAGATGATCACTTAAGATTAGCCAAGAAAATAAAACGGCATAAGTTCCTGTCCATAGTCTAAAATATCTTTGTGGTGTCAAAATTGTTCAGACTGAGATCTGCCACAAGGGCTACGTGGTATTCAACAGGCAAACCACAGGAAGGATGTCTAATCTCAAGGGAGAAAAAGACCACCTAGAGTCAGTCTGCTGCTGTTTGATGCAAGCTTTCACTAATTAGTTTATTAAGGAAGTAGACTCATGTCTTGAATGTGTCTTGGAGACAACAAGAAATCAGTCTTTCCAAGGTCATACAATAAACGTGAGAACTGTGAGTGACTTTTTCAGTATTCTTTTCCATGGTCTACAGAAGTCAGAGAAGGATTTCTTCACTTCCATTACAGTGGAAGGCAAAATTATTGATGTTTTGTCATTTATCCACAGGGCCTCCGTTACGGCTATATCTGTACCTGGCAGGTTTTATGCGTATATGATCAATGGCACAGGACCACGTCGTTTAACGTTAGGAAATATGTTTGATGGGCTTAAGTTAGACGGCTAATCACTTGTCGTTCCCTGAATGCCCAGTGGAAAGAGATGCAGTTCTGGAGGATGGGGTCAATTGGAGATGACTGCGGCAGGGAGGTAGAACAGCCGCTTTCCTGAAATGGGCACCGGGTCAGAAGGCTGGAGTGGGCTTAGACAGAGCTTAAGGGACACTCCAATGTTCACATCCTCTTCAAATCAAATGGAAATTTCCTTCAGGTTACAGGGATAGCTTGTGGCAGAGAGAGTGCTGCATCGGGTCTCCTAAAGGCTAGACAACCACTTAACCACCGGGTCTTCTTCTCTCCTCACTGCAGACTTGGTTCACAGAATTAGAGGATGCTTCAGCTACTTTCTACTCTGAATCGAGGTCTGATAATTTGCTGCCACCCCAAAAGCCGGTGGCGGGGAAGTGAACAAAGTCATAAGGCTGTATCTTTTCAATTTGCTTGCTACAGTTATTCAGGGAAGAGGTAGCCTTGCTCATGATGTTGGTCAGACAGTGTGCTCCTCTCCCCAGATTAGGAAAGAGAAGGTGAGTTTGACCTCAGGGATGTTCCTGTTGGGAAACTGTGCTACAACAGAGATTCTGTGCATTCTGAAGGAGATGATGGGTTTTGTTTTGTGTAGTCCCTTTCCATATGTACTAAAATTATTTCTTTAGAGACCACTGGTCTCTAAAGTCTTAAGCACTTCAGGTCTCATAACAGCTGAGGATGGAATCAACCAGCTTCCTACGTAAGAGTATGGTGCAGTGCCAGAAGTTCCCTGGTTTTGGTCAGCTCTGAAGGTTTCGCATCCTGCAAGCCCCGGTGAAGTTAAGGGTGGAATTCACCCCAGCTAACTTCAGCTGTCCACACGCTAATCCTCTCTGCAAGGTACCTGCCGTCAGCAAAGACAGGCAGGTGACTGCACACCTACCTGTGTCGTAGGAGAAAATACACAACCATTACAGGTGCCCGAAAACCTCCATTAATTCAAATGGCAGCTTTAAAGGCACCGTTAAATGAGATGTTTGCATTTTTAACGCTGAAAGCGAGGTGTAAGGGTCCCAGCTGGATTCCCAACCAAGAACTGCTGGCGTGTGTGCCTTCCACGGACCGATGATGATGATTGTCGCCGCTGCTCCGGGCCATCGGCCGGCTGACTAAATTACCTGCATCGTGCATTTATCTTGCCTCCATCCATGCAGCACTGAAGCCAATGTGTCTGGAGGGCTGAGACGAAACAAGAATGATTCAATTTGTCACATTTCACATGTCGATGGAAGTCTGTCTCCATGTATGCTGCATGGAGAGAACTGGTTAGGCTCTTCAATGATTCACATCTTCCCAGCTCTTCCCATTTTGACTTGTTCCTCTCTTCTTTTTAACTACCTCCTGCTGTCTTTCACAACATTTCTCTGCCTTCCCATGTCAAAATTAATAGCTGGTGGGGAGAGAGGAAAAGAGCTGTGTCAGACCTCTTCAGACAAAAAAAAAAAATCTATTTTTTTTATTTTCCAAGACTCTCATTCAGATCCGAGTATCATGGGGGGTGAAGCAGGGTGAACTGCTTCAGGGAATGGGGTGAAATAATTATTTGAGCTGTAATTCCAATGTCCTGTGAGGGTCAGACTTTTTGTCCCACATATGGTTCTTACAGTTTCTCTCTGAGAAGGAATTTATTAAGGGCTGACTCTCAGAATGAATTGTTTATTGTCTGTACACAGGGCTCAAGAGAACAAACCAACCACGTTACACTACACTTTATTAAAATAGAAACCAATCATCAACATACAAAGCTACCAGCTATTTTGAGTACCCTCTACCGTGTTTTCTGGGCATATGCATAGGACAAAACTCAATCAGTTCTGACGCTGATTAAAGTTCTGTGCTGACTGCCTAGAACTTTCACAGACTTTAACAAAATTTGTCTCACCTAATCCTAGCTACATGAAGCAGAGACAATTATCCCAGAGTCGTTAACACTGGGTTCTCTTTTTATTCAGACAAGAGGTACTTTTCAGACATGATTAATGAAAGATGTAATTGCTTTTTTAAGATATTTGTTTCCTAGTACTGACTGCAAAAAGGACCCTCAAGAAATGAATTTTTAAAAGGGAGAAATACACTGCAATCTAACATTTCCTACGTGTCGTATAGAATTTGACCTTGGATACAGTGCTTTGAGCAATGCCTCAAAGCTCTGTGCTCCAAGTCCAAGCTCCACAATCCCTCCCTAAGTCAAGCTCAGCAATTCCTCCCTAAGTCAAACTCTGGCTAAAAAGAGCTGGAACAAATCCCGAAACACCACCAGGTCACCACGAGGGAAAGTCACTCTGGAGTTACCACCTCTCTCCTCTCCGCTTACAGGTCTGTCTGAAATCCCTCATTATGAGTACGTCAAGTACATCAATCTTCTTCCCAACTGCAACCAGCCAGGCTCATGGGACTAATCAGAGTGGGACTGTGGGAAAGACAGAGGCATCGTACGCCGTCCTCAAGTTCATGGAGAGCTTCTGCCTCATCAGTGCTGCCTGTGGGATGGTGGGAAATGGCATCGTCCTATGGTACCTTGGCTTCCGCATCCGGAGAAACCACTTCACTGTCTACATCCTGAACCTGGCCGCCGCCGACTTTGGGTATCTCCTCTGCATCGCCATTGAGACGGTTCAGTACCTGATGCAGTTCAACGTGGGGGTGCAGTTTGGGATATTCCTCTTCCTGGATCTTTTCATGTATGGGACCGGCTTGTATCTCCTGACCACCATCAGCATCGAGAGGTGCCTCTCTGTCCTTTGTCCAATCTGGTGCCGAAGCCACCGCCCAAAGCACTTGTCCGCCATCATCTCCGGCCTGCTCTGGAGTCTCTCCCTGCTGCTGAACACGCTCGGGTATATTTTGTGTACCGTTCGCCCCTCCACCAGGAGCTGCCACCCCCTGCTCATCACCATCGGAGCCTTGGACTTCGTCTTCTGCACGCCCCTCATGCTGCTCTTCAGCCTCATCCTCTTCCTTAGAGTCAAGTGCAGCTCCCAACACCTCCGAACAGGCAGGCTCTTCACCGTCATCATGCTCACCATCCTCTTCTTCCTCATTTTCGCTGTGCCTCTGAGCGTCCTGATCCTCTTTGACTTCTTGGGCTACAAATTTCTCTACTCCCCAGAGATCGGCTTTGTGCTGTCCTGTGTGAACAGCAGCCTCAACCCCATCATTTACTTCCTTGTGGGGAGCTACAGGGATCGGAGAATCAAGTATACCCTCAGGCTGGCATTCCAGAGGGCCTTTGAAGATTCAGCAGATGACAAAGATGAACGGGACACCCGTGACACAATAACTATGTCCTCCTAAAACCCTGCTGTGCCTAACACAGCAATGCTGGTCTGGAGCTGAGGGCCGATAGTTTACAGAATTGAAGAACTCGGAGGTATTGGGGAAGGTTTTTCTCACGTAACCTTCAGTATCTTCATTGTAGATCTTTACCTAGTTGTTCTAAGCTCCATCTCTGGTCGGTGAAAACAGTTAAGCACTTGAACCACAGAATTTAGCTGACCTGTATTAGGACCACATTGAAATTGCCTATTTCCTTTCAGGGGCCGTTAAATGATTTCAATTTGAGAAGGTGAAATGTCTTGGTGTCTGCATTTCATCGAAGGAATCCCGCTCAGAATTTGCAGTTCATTCAATAAATCCCTTTCAGAGCACAATGATATCAAATTCGTAAATTCTCAGACACTTTTCGCTCCGACCTCTGAAGATGAGATGAGAACCAATCCTCTTCCTGTTGAAATCAGCCACGAAACGCCTGGAAGGAGAGTCTCTCTCTCCCACTTAATTTTAGATTACTTGTATCTTAACAGCCTTTTGCGGCTCGATTCTTTGCTTCCTAGTGCGAACATTTCCAATAGTGAAATGATTCATGCCCTAGAAGTTCCTTTCTTCTATTAACTAGGGAGGTTTCCATACCGTAGAGTGGTGATGTAGTAGGGAAGGGCTACAACCCCTACCAACTTTATGCACTGAGTTGCATGCTCCCTTTTCTTGTGTTTCAAAGACCTACAGGGCTGGAGTTGCGTATTATTTTTGCTTCCTCCAGCCCAGGACGGAGTATCTGCATCTAACTACAGCGTGCATGGGGTTGTTATTTCTGCCTTTAAGAAGACTAGACAAGAACCCATGGCTTCTAACATCTCCTCTAGCAATAGAAACAGGGGGGAAAATAGGAAACAGAGCAAAGGTAAATAAATACCACGATTTGCAACAAATTATTCTCTAGACCCCATCCCTTGAAATGCAAGATGTGATTATTTGAAGTGTTGTACTGTCAGACTATATAGCATTTGCTCTTTTAACGTAAATTGATAGAAAAAGGCAACACAGGTAATTTTCTTTGAGAAACCTTACAGATTTCCTCTTCATGCCTTCATCCGCAAATGTTTTCCTCAAGGGAAGCTGCATTCTTATATTGTCTATTATCTTGTTTCTGTTCATTTGTCTTTTTATTAATTTTGAAAAGCACCACTTAAAATAATAGTGGGTCACTCTAATGTCTGTAGTTGCTTTTTGCTTCCTTTTTATATTTCCTGAAAGCTGAAATTTGAGTTCCATTTCTACCACTCTTTAATTTTTAATGCTTTTGTTCTGCAATGTACATATAGTTGATTCAGATTAGGTCTATGTCATCAATTATTTTTAGTAAGGTTTTTTTCTTCTAGCTTCCACTGCTGAGGGGAAGAGAGCATCCATTTATCAGAAAATATGTTAAAAATATTTTTCTTTTAATATCTGTAATGATTTTATCATTGGGAGAACCAAAACATTTCCGTTATTATTAAAAATGTCAAAAGCCTTTTTTTTTAAAGGAAAACAAATTGTATTTAAAAACATTATTGTGCTCGGAAGAAGCCATCAACTGATAAAAGCATACAGAATGCAAACTGTGAAAAACCTTCCATCCTGACACTTTGTCCTTAAACATACCCATCATGAAGACACAGGGCCTTTAATGTGAACACATTTTACACGTCACATTAATGTGAACACTTTACATCCAACCTTGAACATTTAAAAGGTGATGCCTGCATATAAACCACCATCGCAGACACCCTCAATCATCCATGGTGAAAGACAAGCAATCTCAGGGGTGGCATCTGCCACATATTTGCAGTGTGTACCTCCCGTGGTCCAAAAGAAGTCAGTGATAGGATCTGCAAGGAGATGGGGACCATTTCCAGGCTTTTCCACCCTCAACTAACACCAAGGTAGTCATCCCAGCCTGCCAGGGAGAACATCCGCAGCATCAGAACTAGGATTGTCCCCTGAATTGCTCGGTGTCTCTCTGGAAGGATGCCAGGACATCCAGAAGGTCAGCGGTCACGCATGAGAAGGGTATGTTCCTCAGGGGCCACCAGAACCCTGAAGAAAACCCCACATTTCTGCTTCCCTGGGGACGACGGAGACAGGCAGCCCAGGCCCTAAGTGTTGAGGGTGCTCCTCAACGTGGTCCATGTGCCAGTGGCGTGCGGTGCCTGCGAGGGATGGTGTTACCCGTTCCCCAAGGACAGCAATCCTCACTCCACTCCTCTGAGGAGTCCCTAGACACCAGTCTCTGAAATAATCTTTATTTTCCCATCGATTTCAGAAGGCACACACGTTACCGTTGGTATTTCTGCGGTACAGTTAAGACCTGGAGGAGGGGATGCATGTGGGCATGCGGACGCTTCAGAACGGTCCAGTTGTCACCACGTGCAGGAGAGTGAAAGACGCCGGTGCCTTCATTTGGTTCCCTTTCCCAAGCCTCTGTCCCCCAGTAGTTATCCCCACCCTCCCCTTCAAGCACACAATTTCCATGTGAATGTTTTCTGATTTACAACCACTCACTTGGAAGTTACATATTTCCCAGCTGCACCACGGGTGGAATTTGTCCACTCAGGATCTCCTGGGACCTTTCACAAAGAGGCTGTCTTTGCCTCACCTTAAACTGAAGGAGGAAAGAGCTCATGAAGTCCAATTTCTTCTGAGCATGTATCGAGTTTTAGGGCACTCAGTGACGCTCAGGACTTCTAATCTTCTCTGAGTAGAGGAAATGGCTAATGGAAAGAAACTTTGGAAGGTAAGCAGTATAGAAAACATCCTTTTTCGCTGACAAATATTGCTATTTTATATAGATTGTTTCTGTCCTGGTGATTATGTGAATATTAGCACCTACTTAATTGTTTTGGTTTTGTTCTTCTCTGTTCTTAATTGATGAATCTCATGGATGTTTGACAATATGATTTTCTCCATCTTAAAATGCATCTTGTTATCTCAGTCCATTACGCCTACTCCGGGGCTTCCTTAGGATGCATTTCCATCACAGCTGTGCTTTGCATTAGGGCAGCAATACCCTGCGTCACCCATTTTATGGGAAGTTCCTGACAAAAAAGGAGGAATCCGAGAAGAACCAGGAATACTCGTTGCACGATGTGTGGTAGAGGAAATAATACTTGAATTACTGTCAAAGACAACACTAAGTATAAGGCAAATCATAAAGAAAATAAACAAAGGAGAAAAGGGAGACAGAAAATGGGGACTGGACCAGATAAATATTTTTTTATTTAAGACACAGGAAGAACCTCCCAGTCAGCGTGTGCTGAAAAAGGACAGAAAAGCCAAGTTTATTTTAGAACAGCTAATTCCAGCTGTTAGTCTGGTATTCCACAGCTGCGCTTGCTCTTTTGGCAGGCAAATAACACTTTCTCCAGTGAAAGCCGGACCAGCCCCTGTGTGACTCACCCAACTACACACGGGCATTTAGCACTCTGAGGTTGTTCTTCTTCATCCGTCCTGTCCAAGCAAATCCTTTGTCATGCAGACACTTTATACGATCCCCGTTCCCCATTTCCACCTGTACTGCTACCCATCCCGGCACCTCTTTGATCTGCATCCCAAGGTAGGTGTTCGTGTGCCACCTTTACCGTACCAACCCTCATCTACCCGGTGCTTAGCAAGCTCCAGGGCTTGGGCACTCCTCCTGTGCCGTTCACATTAGACATTTACACTTCTGTAAACACTTCGGCTGTTGTTCACAGCTTGAAGCTCCTGCTGGCCCATGAAAGAGCAACGCTTTCACGGGAGTTTCATTTATATGAAAGTGAACTCCAGCCAAGTCCAGAGGTATTGCCTATAGCTACCAATCCGCCCGCAGTTATCCGTTATCCATCCCAAGACTATCACAAGAAACAGCAATACTTCTATTGTTATTCTTTTATTATTGAAGGAAACTTCAGTTAGAAATAAAATAAATGTAAAGTATTTGGGGTGGGAGGGATTCCTGCAATGCAGGAGTCACAGATGTGCCAGGTGACCCCACTATAAACACAGAGATCCAGTAAACACCATCCATGGAGATGAAAGCGTACCTAGATAAGGGGAGAAGAGAGTGGGGAGGTATCATGGTTTCGAGTGAAATCTCTGCTAAAACAATATCATAATCAATCATCAGAAGTTCTCCAAACCTTGTTAACTGACATGAAATGGCTTCAGTGAAAGTGCTGCCCAGTAAAAAGGAAAACAAACAAAAAATAAAGGCTATGATCTCCTGTTATTTCTTTGAATGTTCTGATCAGAACATTTTCCCTTCTTTCTTGGATTTAGACCTAACTTCAAAAAAGCAGATTTAGATTCCCCCAAAAGACCACAAAGACTCATTCACTGACTGAAGGCAGCAAGAGTTTATTAGGTTGGGTCCAGGCCATGGGGGCCTTTTTCCCCCTGAAAAGGGGGCTGCCTGAGGGGCTCAGCAGCTTCAGCCCCTGCTGACCCCCCCATCTTCCCCTGTCCAAGCTGTCCCCACTCCCACTAGCACATGGCGTTTGCCCCGTTGAATGTCTTGGTATGAGCCTGAGGTAGCTGCAACAAAACCCATCTCTGCTGGGAGCAGGATCCCATGGGCTGCCACGTTGCACGGGAGCCCTCCAGGCTTGACGTCAAGTCAAAGCGAGGGAGAACTCGGCATGCAGGGTCCAGACCTGGCCAACATCCAAGGTCGCTCCTCCTCTTCTCCTCTACCTGGCCTGTGCCCCTTGCACAGTGTCACCTCATACCAGGAACAAGGAGAGACACCAGCCTCAAGGAAACCTCAAGATGCTTCCTTGGTGGCTGTCCCCACCACAGTCCCAGGCAGAGGACGCACCTCAACAGCCTCTTTCCCCTCCACTTTGTCCCCAGGGAGCAGCCCCAGCTTGCCTCCTCTCGCCAGCCATCTCCGCAGCCACATCCCTGGGCCAGTGGTTCCCCTCCTCGCACGCCGTTTTCTCCTCAAACCCTCACTGCAGAGCGGCTTTCACCGAGCCCTGGAACTGGCGGTGCTGGTAGCTCCCCACCAGGAAGTAAATTAACGGGTTAATGCTGCTTTTTGCAGCCACCAGCAGGGACAATGAAGTTATCTTAAGAGCATATTCAATGAATAAGCCTTCCAAAACTTACTCAACTGTTAAAGGAACGGCAAAGATGAAGAAGAGGTTGGTGAGGAAAAGCTCTAGGTACAGCCTCCCTGGGGGATGCCGCGGCAAGGAACGCTGCAGTTTGATGAACAGCATTGAGTTTGACAGCAGTGGTAGGGTGGAGAATACGAGGGAACTCAGAAGGTCTGCACCTCTGAATATATTGTCGCAGACAGGCATTAGGTAAAAATTACAGCAAATAGAAGTTAAGCAAACGAAAAGACCAGGCAAAGCCCAGAGGACCCCACACACGATGCCTGACAAGTGGTTGGGGCAGTGGCATCGGTACCAGATTGGGAAGAGGATGGAGAGACATCGCTCCACACTGATTGCTGTCAGGAGATAAATGCTGCTGAGGTAACAGAGAGAAACAGGACGTACGTTGCAGTGTAGATCACATATGGGAAGTTCAAACAAAAAAAAAAACCACCGCATTGTGTAACGTGAATGGTAAACAAAAAAAAAAGGATCAGAAAGAAGTCAGTGATGGCCAGGTTCAGGACGTAGACAGTGAAGGGGCTTTTCTTCATGTGGAAGCCCAGGAACCGCATGACCACCACATTTCCCAGCAGCCCACAGAACCAAACACCCCACCAAAACAAGCTGAAACAGTCAAACGTAAAGTCCTTGATTCACAAGATCAGCTGTCTCCCCGATATGCTCCATCATACAAGGAATCATTGAACAGAGACAGGTCTGTTGTGTTGGTCTCCTCCATGGCGAATGACCCTGCTCCGGGTGGCCACCTTCTCCCTCGCCCAACACCTCCTAGGAGAGATGAGGAATCAGAAGGAAACGAGGGGCATCGGCGTTCCCACCACTCGCCATCTTTCCCCACCGCCCCACGCCAGCCCCAGGCTGCACCAGGAAAGACCCCGTCCTCTGCCGTGCCCAGGACAGGCTCCCACCCCTCCAGCCCTGTCCCTGGCCAGGAGGCATCTCCCCCCTGCCCTGTCCCCGACCTCCTACCTCCTGCTGCTCCTGGGACCAGAGCTGCAGCAGGAGCACCAGCAC